ATGTTGTTGATTACAAAGGTACAGCAGCTTGGAACTCTGAAAAGAACCCCTGAATTTGTTGGTGAGGGCCTCAGACTCAAACACAGAGGCCTACATCAAGTTCCTTGAAGAGATAGTTCTGCCCTGGGCCTAGAGGAAGGATGCTGAAAGACACAATATCTAGCATTCCCACCAGAAGTTGCAATATGAACATTTCAGAGTGATTGTGTGTCAATCTGAGGAGAGTGCAGAGGATTCAGAACAAGTTCGATCAATCTGATGGTGATTACAAAGGCACAGCAGTTCAGAAAACTCACTCTGATCAATCTGATAAGAAAAGAACTCCCCAATTTGTTGGTGAGGGCCTCAGACTCAACATGGAGACTTGAGTGCCTTGAGGGGGTAGTTAGAGCTGCCCTGGGTCAAAAGGGTGACTGCTTGAAGACCTTATGCCTGGTAACACGACTCTGCAGCATGCCACACAAACAGCAAGACCCAATCATGATTGCCAGACAATTTCTGTGACCGCATCACACCTTACATCTGGCCATCTAACTCCCCAGACTACAACCTCCTTGATTATTATGTGTGGGGCACAGTTGAGCAAGAGACCAACAAAACTCCTTGTAAGACCAAATCAGATCCTTCTTTGGATTTTGTAAAAAACCTTGAGAGAAATAGCAGGAGCACCAGATCAGAGATGTCAATGGTATTCAATATATGGAAGAATGGAAGTTTTGTAAATGTGCAAGATGGACTGACAAGAAAAACTTTCTGGCATGACACAGTGACCCAACTTTCCTTGCAGTAGATGCAGCTATTGATTCGATATAGTCATTCTATTCCAAGTCAGTTTAAAACATGAGGCTAAGAATGCACAGTGCCTGGCTCTCCAGGAGTCTAGCATCACCTATTCTGATGGTGGTCAAGAAAGCTTCTCTATGATGTTTAAATGAGAGCAGTTTTTTTTGGAGGCATTAAAATTACAAGCCATTTCCTGCTCCAGTTAATCAATGATTGGAGGTCCTTTTCAAGAGCAGCAGGCACGTTAACTTTGTCATTTCTGACAGATTTGCTATTGAGACAGGAGTAAATGGTAGTGTCATCAGCATCATATATGCGTACTTGGGAAATGAGGAAATCAGGAAAATCATTGTTGATGATCAGAAAGAGTGTACAATCCAACATAGAGCCTTGTGGGGACACCCACATTTGTGTGAAAGGATCTGGGAGCAAGCCCATTGAAAATGACCTTAACTTCAGGATTTGATAGGAATGATTGGATTAAATCTAACAATCATCCTTAAAATATATTATGCATATGATATATATACATAAAATATATTGGACACGATATAGATACATAAAAGATATACATAAATATACATGTATAATATATGCATGCATATTCGTCCCACACTCTCATACTTACACTCTCTCTAAATTCTATTTTTATTTCCGGAGTTGTTTTTTCTGTTTTCTTTTAGAATTTGTAGGCCTGATGAATTGGATCGTATTTACAGTTCCAATGGAATAAATTATGACCATGGAATATTAGTGTTTAAGCCTTTTTTATATATATATATATATATATATATATATATATATATATATATTCAACTCTCCCATTGAATTCAACGTATGAGGGCCAAGCAGATCAGTTCCGAGGTAACTGATAGCCCGACACCAGCACATGAGATTTGATTATAGTGGTGAAGGTTTTGTGCAGAACCATCCACACTTTTTGAAGGGCCGAATACAGAGAATTGGTGCACTACAAGCCACAAGGTCCCCAAACGACCCTCTGTAGGTTTTGAATTCAGAGTTGTTCTTCTCCTAGACTAGTTGCCATCCAATGCTATAGAACCCAGTTTGTCCTGCTACTTACCCATTGCTGGAGGGAGAAGAAGAGGATTCACACCTTTCCCAAGGGTATTAGCACATAATTGAATGTAATGGATTTGACTGGAATTTGAATTCGGTTCTCCGATTCGTCAATCCAAGCTGCTATCCACTACTCCATATACATATACACACACACACACCACACACACACATATATATATATATATATATATATATATATATATATATATATAAAATAAATATTTATATATATATTGATACATAGTATGATTGTTGTGGTTGTTAGATATAAAGACTTGTCTTATTTGACTGTAGTACTCCCTTTTACAACAAAGTTACTTTTAAATTCAAAAGATATTAAAAGAAGATACTTCCTTCTACCTTTAGTATGATCTGTGACTCAAGTTATTATTCACCTGAAGCTATTTATAGACAAAGACGGAATCCCAGAGAGTAGAAGATAAGTTGTAAAAGAAAGCAATTTCTTTGAAAATATCCCTGTAAACTAACATTACTATTCTGCTAGTGCCAGTGACTCTGGAGATAGTCTACACATGTCCTGATATTTACTTGAACATGTTTGGCTCAAGGCCACTTTTTTACTTTTTTTTTTTTTTTACAGAACTTAATATATTAGAAATATTTTCATTTTACTCCGAAGCAGATTTCATGGATACATTTGAAGATTTTTATTGTTTCATGTTGTTGTTATTAACCCTCTAGATTACTCTGTGGAGTAGAGAGCCACAGCTTCACCATACTAGTGCCACAGCCTCACTGCTCTAGGCGTTGTCGCTGTAGTTGCGATAACAAGTAAGTTTTATACTATGGAGTTGCCAGCTCCATGCTCAGCCAGTATTTTAATTCATAGCTTGACTGGCCACCAACCAAGGCTAGAGGACCCAGTTTGCACTGTTTTTTAAGCCTTAGCTTAGGAGGAGAAGAAATAGATTCTTAACTTCCTAAGAATATTTGACTGGAATTTAAACTTGACCTTCCACTCACACTTTCCTTGGTGATAACCACTACACTATGTACACAGGTGATGACTCCATGATATTATTATTATTATTTTTATTATTATTTGCCTTTATTTTGTGTAGGCTGAGCTACCCACCCGACTCTCAAGAAGAGGTGTCATGAGACAACATGTGTATGACTTTTTTTTTAAATTAAAATATTTTAGGGTTAATGGTAAGTTTGTTTGCTTCTTCTGATATAATTCCTAAAGCCCCAATATCCAAATCCTTCTCACACCTTTTGTAGGAATTCCCTCCTGATTGAACATGGTTCCATGAGTGTAGCTGTACTCACCACGTTTGACTAATTGTGAATTTTTTTTTTTAAAGCATTCAACCAAAGCATTCAACCAAAGCATTTAAAGCAAGGTGGGAAGCCACTAGCACACAAAGGGTTTCAGAGTAGGAGCAAGAACAAAGAGAATTGATAGAGGAAAGTATGAAGAGAAGGTTAGGGGATAGATCAAGGCATCTGGAGATGTCAAATGACGTTACATTTGAATAGTTGGAGATTATAGCTATCAGGGAAACAAGAAATGAGGAGGGAGTTTCACAGGTGAGAAGTGCAAGACATGAAGCTATTGGAGTAGAAGCGACGGCTACATTTAAGAGTTTCAACAGTGAAAGGTTGAGAGTGAGATGCCAGCCTAGTTGAACGCTTAAATTCATGAAGTCTGGGAACCAGCGAAAGCAGCTCATTGTAGCAGTTACCATGAAAGTATTTGTAAAAAAGACAGATGGAGGCAATGGCACATCTGTGAGAGAGTGACTGCAGACGAGGTGCCAGATCAGGGCCAATTACATTGCATATCCATCTTTGGATTTTATCAAGGACCTTGAGACAATTAGAAGGGACTCCAGACCATATATAGCAGCAATACTCCATGCAAGGGCGAATGGTTGATTTGTAGATTTGAAGGATCGACTCCGGCGAGAAAAATTTCCTGGTATGGCATAGGGAGCCAAATTTCTGAGCGGTGGATGAAGCTATTGACTCAACATATTTGTTCCATCTCAGGTCAGCGGACAATGTAAGACTGAGCAGCTACAAAGAGGTGATCTTGTGGAGTTGAGCAGACATTCTAATGGGAGGCAGGGATGGTTGTCTCTGGTGAGTAATAGAGAGCAGTTTTGTTTTTGAGGCATTAAAGTTAACCAACCAATACCTGCCTCACTCCACAACCGATTGGAGGTCCTTTTCATGACAAATGGCCAGGTTAGTTTTGTCAGCGCAGTTTATTAAACTCATAGTTAGAAGTTTTGAATTCGGAATTGTCCATCTACAGTCTGTTGCCACTCAAGACTATAAGACCCAGTCTGCTATTTACCCATAGCCTGGAGAAGAGATGGATTCATACCTTTCCCAAGGATATTTGCATGTAAGATAATGTAAACACCAATAATAATAGGTAATATTGTTGTCTTCAGATAACACTTTCTTCTCATTTCTAGTTCAAGGTCTTTGTATTTACTTCCTCTTTTTCAAAAATGTGCTTTTGTTGGATGGATCTATAACTATCCTCTTAGTAATATTTGTCTTTTTACCATGACGTGTAATCCTTGTTCTGATCTCCATTTACACAAGCTTGCTGTGCAGCACTTCACAACTTCCTAATCTTCATGGCTCTTAGCAACATTTGTCTTATTTCTTTATTATGTGTTTGTGAAGTTTTAATTATTTCTTTCTGATTCTAAGTAGAAGTGTCCTTTTTGTTTCCATTTTCCTTACAATTTCTTCTTCACTCACATTTTTAGTCTCAGCATTCCACAGGTATAACTACATTTCTCAAGTCTCTTCTTCATTTATGAGAAGATTGTCCAACATTCACTGCTATAATGCCATCACAATTATTACATAACAGTTTAGTACTCTTTTCTTTGTTTCTAATGAAATTTTTCCACAAAATATCAAGGTCACAGGTTAATTAGAATTTTCAAAAATTGTTTTAATTTTTTTTGCAGTTGGAAATAATTTGTTCTGAATTTGCATTTGTCTAGCTCATTTTCGGTATGAACCTGGATGCAAATTTTCTGTTGAAGACTCAGAAATTAGTGTACTTCCTATACATTTTTGTCAGTAAATTACATTGTCTTTTAATTAAAACAGCATTCTAATGAAGTCCTTTTGAAGGACATATGATTTACATAGAATTTTTCTGTCTATGTCTTCCCGTGTATTCCTATCTATCTATTTATCTATCTATCTATCTATCTATCTATCTATCTATCTATCTATCTATCTATCTATCCACATCTTTTTCTCTCTCCCTTTATCTGTCTGTTCCTATCTCTGTATCTGTCTCTTACCATCTCCCTCTCTATATCCCTATATATAAGGGAATATATGTTAAAAATATTTCCTAACCAATGAGCCTTTCCACATAAAAAATTGATGATGTTATGTTATTTTGTTAGATTCTGTAAATTATATAAAGCCAAAAACTTTGCATGTATATATATATGTGGATGAAAATATGTATGCTCCCGGGAAATCTGGTTGAGCTCTCGAGAGAAAGGGGGTTTTAAAACAGTGGCTCCTACTGTTATTAATGCATTACTCTTCAAGTATGGATTAGGTTCTCCAGGCCATTGGTATATTTTGTATAGAAAAAACTGTTAAAATTTCCCTTTCTCTCTGCCATGCAACAATAGGGGTAGGATCTCTGATGTCAAATCGGTCAGGATGTGATCCTGGCTCAAAGCAATCGGATGGCTAGCCACACTGAAGGTCTGTGATACAGTGAAACAGTCTGTCTGAGGATGACTACACACACATTATATATATATATATATATATATATATATATATAATGTCTGGCTGCTTGGTTTACAAGTACACCAATCAGCTAGGGTGGTCAGCTAACTTCAGAGATCCAAGGAGAGAGTATATAATCAGATGTAATCAGCCGTTGAACAAGGCCAGTATGCTTAAACTCTCAGTCACAATAGCTTGTGACTTTTTGATAGCACAACAATTGACAGCTTCCAAACATATAAGCAATGGTGGCATCTTACCAGCATAAACCAATTCTTAAAATTATAAGCAAACTGGTTGTTGAATTATCTGAAAATAATCTTATATGTTAATAGTTGATATGTAATAGCTAAAATTATAATACTATTGCTGTAAGTCCTGTGAAGACTGAAACAGGGTTTTCTGTGATGAACATAATTTATTCTGATAAAAGAAATTGTCTTGAAGTTAAAAATGTGGCAAATCTTCTAGTCATAAATTTGATAGGTCTTCCATTGAATCTTTGGGACGGCAGCAATTCAGTTGAAATGTGGCTAAGAAACCATAACAAAGCTGATGATACTTGACAAAAAAAATATGAGAAAAATTTCAATCTGGAAATACCTTAAGAAATATTTTCTATTAAATTATGAAAATGGTTTAATTCTTTTTGATACTATAAAGTGATTTATTTCCATTCTCAGATTGAAAAGAAAATAAGCAGAACAGTTCCCTAAAGATTACCTGCCATTATAGAACTAGTTCCTGGAAATTTGGGATACTATTATTGCTTATAAGGCTTGGGTCTCACCCATGGCATGGTATTCAGACACTTCCAAACAGTTCTGTATGCTGGTGGGATATTAACAAGACATCACCTCCTTCACAAATTGACCATAGTAAGATTTTAACTGGAGTCTTATGGTTGTAATGCTAACATTATAAACACTTGGCAATAAGCCCACACACACACACACACACACACATACATACATACATATATATATATATATATATAAAAGGAATGAAGTCATTCATTTTCTTATGAGTCAACTCATAAATATCTGAAATCTATTCAATATCTCATTGGTCACTCTGTTATGATACATTTAGGCTTATTGATATGATTACTGGGCAAGGGGTGTGGACTATGGTTACTCGTAAAGAGGTAATGATCTATGTACAGATTGTGTCATGTGACAAATAATTAAATACAAATTCATTCGATAAAAGAGAAAGAAATTAATCCCCACTTAAGAGAAGATACGATCTGAAAATCTTTCTTTTTTTTTACCTCTTTGTTCAGGGTTGTTTTATTACTTTCATTCTTTCATACTCAATGTCTTTATTTCTTTCTTTCTGGCTTGAACCTTTTCTTTTCTATTTTTTCTTTTTTTTATGTGTTCTTTGTTATTTTTCATCTTTATCATTTTCTTCTTCTTACTTTCCTATTCTTTTTTTTATGGCTTTTTTTGTCTTTCTTTTGGTCTCTCTTTGTTAATTTTTTTTTATTTCTATCTTTGTTCTTGTATTTTTCTTTCTGTTATGTACCTTACCTATCAACACTAATGGGTATGTCCCAAACCTCATAAATACGTTGGTCACTATTGTAAGTGAGGGTAATATGCTATCTAAGTAGTCCACTACTAGCAGTGGTTTATCTACTTCACACCGCTGGCAAGTATTGTATTTTGTTGATGTTATAAAGATTACCTTTTCATTTCCAACCTCCATTTTGGTTATTCCTCATTCAGTAAACCTTTCTAGGTTACAATTTCTTTGTTCACTTTTTTCTTTCACTCATTCTTTCTTTACTTTTTCAAGCACATTTATTTTTCTGTATTTTGTGCATCTTTCTTTCTTTTGTGAAAGTTTTTCTTCGTCTCAACATTGATGTATCTCTCATCTTATTTCTTTCTTTCTGCCTTCATTCTGACTTTCCCTTCTTCTTTTTACATCTTTCTTTTTTTTTTTTGTGTGTGTTTTCCTTCTATTTTCTTTCTTCTGTTGTTTCCTTTTTTGTTTCTTCTTTGTCTATATGCAGTACGATGCCAGAATAAGATATTGCAGACCATCAAAGAAGCCAGGTGTACCAGCAGGTTGACCTGGGGCCACTCCTGATTGGGAAATGGAAAATCACAGGACCTCACAACTGCATCCAGATTCACAACAAAAGCTGAATAAAATGTAATGTTAAGTAATGAAAGATTCAAGTCTTGTGTTATCATTATGTATATCATATTTCTTCCATTCATTTTTGTTTCTTTTATTTATGTTATGGGGTCCACCCTTTTCGGATATAATGGACTTGTCCTGCTGCCATAAAAAACTTATGGAGCATGTTGCTCAAGAGTGAAGTAACCTCTTGTTTAGACTCAAAGAGCCTGTATCTGTATTTGTAATGTTCCCATAAGTTTTCTATTTTGGGGTTGATTTAATTTCTTAGCTTAAATATTGGGTCTGTCCATGGGATCTACAACAATCATCTGCTTCACACTCATCAAAGTATTTCTTCATCTATTTTGATTTGTGATAGGGAGCATTATCCTGCATAAAAATGAGTCCTTTATTGACATTGTGGGGTCTGGATAATTTGGGCAACCTTTCAGCAGAAGTGTTTGCCAGACTGCTTCTTTGAGATTTTTGAGGGTCTTTTTTCAATCGGTTTTTATAGAAGCCAGTTTCATGAAAAGAAAAGTATCACCAGAACATTATACTGAACGGATGCTTGACAGCTCTTTGAATTGCTTACTGCTAAATTCAGTAAAGAGCTTTCAAAGCTTTTCTTTTCATGGAAAGATCGGATTTTAGATCGCTTATCCTTTGAATTTAGCTCAACTTTCATTTCATCAGAGAAGAGAACATTTAGAAAAAAAAATCAGGTGAGTCACTTTTATCGAACAGCACTGTATATATATATATATATATATATATATATATATATATATAGATGGATAGATAGATAGATAAATTAATATACATATACCTACATTTGTAGTGCAACTTAATGTTTTGTGGTTTTTATATACTTCTTAGTTCTGTCCAACCACATTGAGCATTGTTTTGTTTACACCTAATATTAAAGTAAGTAAATATTTATTTGTTTACCTGTGTATGCACGCTAATGCATGTATATACAGCTACTAATACCTAATCATTTGGTTTATATCAACATTGATAGATAGATATCATTGGCATAGGAAGTAAGCATTGTGACTATCAGTTTCATGCCTTCATTCTTAAGTCTGAACATCATATGTCTATAAGCAATACTGAGCATTGTTTGCTAATAAATATAAAAATAATTGAGAATTGCACCACTGAGGTTTCTTCCCGGGTCAAAGCCGATATGGTTGCTTCCATTCCTTTTCAGAAATACCAGGTGAAACCTCAATAAATAATAAATATAAACGAGTCCTCAAAGGAGTGAAGTCCCTGTTTGCCCAGAGAATCAGGCACTACATGGCATCTAACAACTTTGGCTCTCATGATCATTGGCAGCTATATGATAGGGTATTATATAAGCATTATATAATATATTATATATTATATAGGTATTATATAAGTACAAGGTCTCTATTTCTCCCCTCTCCAGTTTGAAGTGTTGACATCCTCAGCTAATGAAGCTGAAAGCTTTACCCATAAATTCTCCTGAAACTCTACTCTTGACTCATCTGGATTATCTCTGCCTAATTTCCCACTTAGAACTGAATCTCTGTTGAGCGATATGCATATAAAACCTTCCATGTTTTCTGCTATCATCTCTAATCTTGATTCCAACAAAGCATGCAGACCTGATGGCATCCCTGTAATAGTCATTAAGAAGTGTGCTCCCAAACTGGCTCCTCTTCTCTCTTAACTGTATAGCAAATGCCTTCCTGAATCTTGCCTACTAGAAATCATAGTTGTTCCAGTTTCTAAGAACTCTGGTGAACCATCCAACCCTTTCAACTATCAGCCTATTAGTCTTCTACCTCTTTTTAGGAAACTCCTAGCAGCCCTAATCAATGCTGAGTTGGTTCAGCATCTCTCATCACAGGACCTGTTTTCAGACAAGCAATATGGCTTTTGTCTCTCCAGGTCAACTGCTGATATACTGATGATAATTGCAGAAAACATTTATCATGCTCTAGAAAAAAATGATCAAGCCCAGGCACTGGACATTTCAAAAGCCTTTGACAGGGTTTGGTATACAGGTCTTCTCTACAAGTTGGAAAGTTACGGTATCTCCAGACACATTTTTGAACTGATACAGTCTTTCCTATCAAATCATGAAATGAAAGTTATCCTGAATGGTCACTCGTCTAGATCCTTTAGTACTAATGTAGGTGTCCCCACCCCAGGGCTCCATCCTTGGTCCTACTCTGTTTTCATTAATGGCCTTCCTGATGACATCAGCTTTCAACTTGGCATCTATGCTAGGGAAACAATCATTTACTCTTGCCTCAATATTAAGGCTGATCAGGCAGACAAGGTTAAAATGGCAGCTGGTGTGCATGGGAAAAAGTGTTGGAAAGTAAAACTGACATGTACAGAAGTATACAAATGCTGTGTTTAGCTGCCAAATAAGAACTGATGGGAGATGGCAGAAATACAAAAATGGTGATGAGCCAAAAACTACATCAAAACATGGTGTGTTAGAAAATTAATAAAGCAATGTTAGTAACTTAACAAGCAATGGGTTTGGATTTGCTCTACAGTCAAGCAGAATCTTAATCAACCACATTTTTTTGAAGCAAATAGATTTGTAAAGTGAGAGAGAAAGCAAAGCAAAAAAAAACAGAAAGGAATTGTTCTCAATGCTAATTAAAGCAGAAGTCAACTGCTACATCCTTGAGGGAGCTCCCGACAGAACATTTCATTCCAGAAAGATTCACATTGACTCCCCATGGAGCAAGGTTTTGACACAAAATCAGTTTTTAACATGGGAACCTGAGTATTTCCACTCGGGCCACTGGTTTAAGCTGGTCTTAGCTTCTCTAAGCTAGTCATAGCAGGTCATACCACTGCCATGGAACAAATGTTAGGCAACAGAGGGTCGGGGGGCAGTTAATGCAAGGAAGGAGAGAAGTCCTCTGGCACAGAACAGATACTACCACCACAGCATCTACTCTAACAGGAAAAACCTCTTCTCCTCTTCTGCTAATCCTTCCAGAAAAATCCAGGAGACTGAGATTTACCTTAACAACCCCTACTGATTCAGGTTGTGATACAAGGTCAGTTTTTAATATGGGGACCTGGGTATTTCCACTCAGGCTGCTGGTTTAAGCTTGTGCAAACTAGTCATAACCGGTCACACCACTGCTATGTAAAAGATGTCATGCAATGAGGGGAATGCAAGGGAGGAGAAAAGTCCTCTGGCATGGAACAGATACTACAAGTACAGCAACTACACTAACTGGAAAAACCCCCTTCTCTACCCCCAACCATCATCTTACAGAAGAATCTGGGAGTGGGGAGCCTGAGATTCACCTTAACCTCCCACTGAGTCAGGTTGATTTTTAACATGGGGTCCCAAGTGTTTGCACTCAGGCCGCTGGTTTAAGCTAGTTATAGCACTTCTATGGAACAGATGTTAAGCAACTTAATGCAAGGGAGAAGAGGAGGCCTTTAGCACAGAACAGATAATATAATTGCAGCATCTACTCCAATGGGAAAACCCCACTTCTCCTCCCCTGCCAATCTTTATGGAAGAATCTAGAAAAAGAATCTGTGATTTACCTTAACTTAATACTATATAACTTTCCATGTAGGCACAAAAGACATGGGTCATTTTAAGATCTACATGTTCTTGTTTTTTTTTTTATTAGATTCCATTTTACAGTGGGTGATTTATTAGTTTCTTTTATATGCCAAAAATATTTGGATAGAGATGTTTGGTTGTGATACTTAATATTATTGAAGGAAGTCAGATGTTAGCTCCATCTTAATTTAAATTCATTTTAGTAGATCCAATATAACATTTTTCAATATTAGGATTCTCAATAGATGAGATAGTGCATTAGTAAACTACAGATTCTGTGAGATATTTATTATTCAATGAACAATTTTCAGGATTTCTAGTTATATAATTTTTCTTTACTATTGTTTATTCTTATTTCTTAGAATTTTATTATTATGCTTTTTATAATTTTTTTCTAAATTTTCAGTACTGAAAAATAATGATCCATACTACACATACACATCTTTTTTAACCATTTCATCCCAAGCAAAGCATTAACGCCACTATGATGCACGTCTGAGATAATTTGAGAAAAATAAAAAATTATTAAGGAGAAAGAACAATAAAAGAACAGGAATTAAGAGGACAGAAAATAACAATTGACATTGTATTTAAATTTTTGAAGATCAAAGCTGACTGGAAAACAAGAAGCCGGAAGAGAGTTACACAAGTGAGAAGTATGAGAGAACAAATTTTTAGCATAGAATATCCAGCTGTTAAAATGATGAGACCTAACTGCCAATCTAGTACTATACTTAAATTTGTAAAGTTGAGGCACTAAAGTGGAAATCTCATCAGAACAATTACCATGAAAATATTTATAGAAAGTGCACAGAGAAGCTATGTCATAGTGGTGGGGAAAGTGACTGAAGCTTAGATGTCAGGTCGGGACCTATAAAATTGCAAATTCTATTTTGTATTTTATCAACAATTTCTAAATACATTGCAGAAGCACCATACCAGATATAGCAACAATATTCAATGCATGGAGAAATGACAGACTTATAAATGTCCAAAATAGATTCTGGTGAGAAAAACTGTCTGTCATGACACAGTGAACCAACTTTCCTAGCAGCAGACCTAACAATTGATTCAATATAATTTGCTTGTGACATTTTCTCATGACAGTTGGTGCTAATTCCTTCCCCATCTATTTGCATATTTAAGAAACCTTCATTTGTTATAAGCATATTGTGCCAAATAAAGGTCTCCATAGATTTATTAATCTCTGACTGTCATGTAGATTTTATATG